ATATATATATATAGGATAGGTAAGTCAGCGTAGTCTCCGGCGTCCTCTCCGCTGGAAGGAAATGACGTGTAAGAGGCTGAGTGACAGTTGTTTTAGCGGTTAGCATTTAATGGAGTTAAGATTATTGTTTAGTGGATTAGTGGTTAGTGAGTCTAAACTTTAGGTTAACTGTGTCCACCACTTTGAATATTGAGATAAATAATAGGCTACATTCACACTGCAGGTCTTAATGCTCAATTCTGATATTTTTTTTAAAAATCGGATCTTTTTGTGTGAACGTTCACATTACATTTTAAATGCGACCTGCATCAGACTCCAGTGTGAACTCTACACAGCACTGATGACACATGCATGCGCAGTAAAGACGTGACGTCTCACCTGGCTTTTTTGTTTACAGAGTTAGCATGGATGCTATTATTAGTGCGTCAAATCGGAAGTTGTTTAATCAGAGCCGATTAAATAATTATCTGACGCTTGTTTAGTTCAGTGTTTATATCTGATCCTGCCTCTGACCGGATGCTCCGGTGAAGCTTTTTATTTTTGGAATGAATCAACGAATTGGAAATTAAGTATCGACTGAGTAAATTTAGGATCGATACGCTCCACGACCCAGGCTGGACGTTACCATCTACATGGAAAATCAAAAATAAAAAGACGAAGCAATTGGACTTGTGTTTTGGAGCAGTAAACACAGGGAGCTAAAAAATGCGTGACTTGAGGTGAGTGTGTTATCGATCCTTCACCACCCCCCCTCCTGATGAAAAAGTCAGATGAATGTGACATGAGTGTTAACACTGCAGTCGCTTTGAAAACATCAGATATGTATCTGATTTAGAACCACATACTGAAACGGCCTGGGTCAGATAAAAAAAATTTGGATTTGTCGTGTTCAGACTGTTCCCATAAGTTCCCATCTACTACTCTATGACCTGATCAGATGTAAAATGTTAAAAGTTAACTATGCTGACACATGATTGGACAAACTCAAAGTAAAGCTCTTACTGTACGCGACTTTAGGAGGTGGTGTGGTATCGATCTCGTTGACACAGGAAAGTGGGATGTCCTCCTTCCCACTGGTGATGTCTGGGATGTAATAGAAGGGCCTTTGTGGCTGGAAGGGTCGATCCACGAGAACATAGGGGTCTAGACAGAACATCTCTAAGAATATAAAGTCGCAGCGAGACTGGAAGAGGTAATTCTGTATCTCTGACATGTTTCGTAGGCAGAGTCCACACGGAGCCTTGTAGGTCACGTGGAAAGACACCTGAGGAGAGGACGACAAAACGTTGTTCAGGTAATGTGTTTGATGTCCCATTGCTTTTCCTATTATACATAAATGACCTTCCAAAAATATTGAAGTATTCTAATATTTTAATGTATGCTGATGATACTGTTCTTTTTTTGTCTGATTTCAATATTGAATCTATTAATAGTCAGTTACAAGCAGATCTTCAGACATTTCATGGT